TTTTTTTTTCCCAATAACATTATTAGTTTCCAGTCAAATAGTATGGTTCCCCTAGAAAAATTTAGGGAGAATTTTTGAAATAGCTACATAAAAAATATTCACAAAAATCTATATAGTTGAGAAATATTTATAAAAGATCGTTCTAGTTTTAGTAACACACACTGCAACTAGCATCGATTTTGAAAATAATATTTACATAGTCTAAAGGATTTGGAGAATCTCATAAAGAAAAAATGAGACTTAATCCACACAGAATTGTGAAACCTCTATAGTGTTTTAAATCTTTATTTTAGACTTCACGGCCATTGCTCAATCTCGTGGAGTTTGTTTATCAACTCAGTCCAAGGAACTTGACAATTCCCTTACACCTCAGTTTAGTACGCGATCTGAGAATGGATTCAAGCTAAGAATGGAAAAGAATGTAGGAATGAAATAGAATAGATATCGAATGGAATGCGCATTCTCACATGTTTGGCCGTCCGCTTTTAGAGAATGAAACAGGAATGATAATCTTATTTCTCATTCCTTGTTTGATATTTTTGTTTACAAGTGAGAATAAATTTTAGTTTTCTGAATAATATCCTTAACAAAAAAAAATTTTGCAGAATTTTAAAAACATAAAAAATATTTTTAAAATGACTAAATAATTTATTTTTTAGAAAAATAAGTTTATGGCCCGAAATGATATTTTCTATAGAAATTAATTTCTTCCAGTGATAGCTATTATTTGCGCTACACCACCTCACCAACTAATTTCAGAACATTTAGCTTACTAACTGAAATTTAATTTTCATAGAAACTATTTTTTGATTATAAATAATTATAACTCTACATTTCTAACTTCTAATGCTAACATTTCTACTACTAGTGTGAGCAGCTAATGCCTACTGAGCATCATTGTACAAGAAACGTACACAATAGACTGAATTCCATAAGTATGCCTACGTGATTTTATGACTGAATCATATTGCGATGCATGAGAGAGAGAAAGATCGGAAAAAACACTAAATTTGAAGGGTTAGAAAAATATTGCTTAACTTTTAGTCTATATATAGAATTTCTATGAAATTTCAAATGCCAACTTCAACTTTTAAAAGATGATTTGGAAGTAGAAAACATTCCAAAGATAAATATTGCTTCAATGTTTTTTATAACTTCAATCATACCTCCAAGTAGAAAATATTTGCTAACCAAATTGGTTAACTAGATTACGCATCGCAGTCGCCAAAAAGATAAAAAAAATTGTTGTAAAGATTAGCGTAAAGTTTTAGCCACCATTACATAGTTAAAAGAAATTGATTGGCGTTACCTAACGGAGTCACGTCGATGCCGAAGATGAGATTTTTTCTCTAATGCAGACGCTACAGAACTAAGAGCAAAGTCAAACAAAGACATAATATTTAATATTTTTATATTCTATTTGGTATATTTATATGAGCCCAGCTACATTAATATTATTTCTATAGAATATTCGTTTTATTTTAAGGAGGGCGTAATGAAAATTATTTAATTATTTTTATTCTCACTTAAGTGAAATATCAATCCTTGTTAAATGGTTGAGAATGCGAATTCCTAACATAAAGTGGAATTGATTAAGAAGTGGGAATACATTCTCAGCCGTCTAAAAGTACATCGTGTTGGAAGCATGAATAAAGAGTTGGAATTACATCATTCTCACTCATTGCCGTGTACCAAACGAGTCCATTAGAGTTTAAGTGAGAATTACTCTTTAAGGCGCATTGTTCAATCCACGTAGAGCATAATCTCATTTAATATCTACGAGTATTCGCAATCCTTAGACTTATGTATGCCACCGATTGTTACATTCAAGAGTAGAAATTTGGAGTAGTAATTTAATCGAAAGGAACAAATATAGATGAAATTCTTTTGAATGTTGTCCTATTGAGCCCTATCCGAAAACTCTTATTTTCTTTATATATATATATATATGATAATATATATATATATATATATATATATAATATATATATATTATTATATATATTATATATATATTATATATATATATATATATATATATATGTCGCAAAAATATTTCCTAAGATGACACCTTAGATAATCATCTAAGGACGCAACCAAAATCACATGATTGAACTACATGGTGGATGATGCCGCTCCGTTTGAACTTGCATCTACATATCTAAAACCCCAACAACACCAAGTTTGGTCTGTGTGTGAAAACTCATCATCATTTGGACCCTTCGTCGAGCCATGTGAAAGGTTCTATTCATTCGAAACCGCTTTAAAATTGCATAGTGAGTGCGATCGAAGGGTCAAACAGCTACGGGTTTCACCCTTAAACTTGGTCTGTGCTTTCATGTTTGTAGAATATGTAGATCAATGTTTAACGAGAGCGTATTCATCTATAATGTAGCTCAATTATTGTGATTTTAGGCTCGTCCTTAGCATGATTATCTAAGATGTCACCTTTTAGGAAACACTTTCTCCATATATATATATATATACTATTATATATATATTTATATATATATATATAATATATAATATAATATATATATATATATATATATATATATATATATATATATATATTATAATATATATATATATATTATATGGGAGAGGTTCAAAATACATAACCTCACTATCCTAAAAACTAAAAACCAATCCTCTCCATTGGATCTAGATTCATCCATGGCCCTGAGATTAAAGCTTGCATTAAGGGCTAAATTAGTGTAAAATAAACAGCCACTAAAGCAGAGGTAATTAATGCTTCTTATTGCAGTTTCTCCATTTTCCCATGCAACTCTCCTCTCACGTTTCCTCTCTCTTCTCCTCCATTTTCCCAAAAGCTTAAACCAGCCCCCTCTCTCTGCGTAGGGTTATTTTCTTGCGTTTAGGTGTTATATTTTCTTGGATAGGTTATATTCTTAAGTTGAATTTGATCTTGGTAGGTGTTATTTTCTTGAATCTGATCATGGTTTGCTTCTCGCCTCTGTCATTGGGCGCATGATTAGAAGAGGCGGCATCCATGGCCAAGAGTTCTTCAAGCTCAGCACCCCCTCGGTTCGCTCACGCTTTTTCTTTAATTTCCAATTTTGATTTTGGTTTTCTTTTTAGCAGGTATTGTTGAAGTTGCATCTTGGTTCTAGGCATCTTGTTTTTAGCTTGGGCTTTCTCTTATACTCGATCTTGGTTGTTTGTTTTGTTGGATTATCTTTCAAAATTTTACAATCTTTTTTAGGGTTCTTACATAAAATATTTAGAAATTGCAATCCTGTTAATTTTTTTGTTTAAAATTGTTAAAGTTCAGATTTTAGTTGTGGCGGTTGTTTTAGTTGCTGTCACGTAAATAATTGAACTTCACTGCCAGTTAGCGACATTCACGCAGCCGCCAATTTTTGCTGTTCCTAAATAATTGAATTCACTGCAGTGAATCCCAGACTCAGTTTTATGTGACGTGTTTGTTTTTTACCATTAAAAATTGTAACTTTGTTGCTTAAAATCACAATATCACGTTCTCTATAATGCATGAGTGATCTCGATTCACGCAGTGTTCAATTCAGTGCATTGCAATCCAGCTTTTTTTACTTCAACTAACGCATGAGTGAATCTAGATTCACTCAGTCTAATCTCGATTCACTGCCAGTGAATCCAGCATTCAATTATTGAGGTGTTGACATGCTGCAGTTCAGCCGTTGTTTTCATAAAAATCATAATCTTTTTGCTGTAAAAGTAAAAATTTTCATGTTATAAATTTGATAGCCTTCTGTTTTTTTACCATAAGTTTCTTATTCCTGCTTGGATGGTTAGCAATGATTCACAAAATCCAGTGGCAGCCAGCCAAATCGATTGCGAGTGAATTCAGATTCAATTCGTCTGGAGTGAATCTGTTATTGAAGATCACTTCAGTGAATCCAGATTCATTGCGTTATTTGCTGTTCTTCATGTGAGATTTACAGAGATCGAAAGTGAGTATAGAGAGAAGAGAGTATTAAAGAATGTAGCACTATAATGCTAAGAGAGAGTATTAAAGCGACGTGTATTAAATTTTATCATTGTTCGAATGTAAGCAGTCACCATTGAATGCAATATATGTCCAATTTTTAACCCTTTCACATTAATTGTGTATTAAGATTTTACTCTATATTTATCTAATTTCTGCCATCGAATCTAGGCCATTGGATGAAATAGAATGTAGGTTAGGATTGTTTTTAGTTCTCTAGGTTTTATTAGAACCTCTCCCTAGATTTATATATATATATATATATATATATATATTATATATATAATATATATATATATATTATATATATATATATATATATATATATATATATATGAGAAATATGGCCACGTATTGCGCTTGGTGTAGTGTGACGGTGTCAAATTCCCCCTCCACTCATTCAATGATGGGAACAAATTTCATATGAATACTGTTTGAGTGGATGGTGATATGACACATTACTACCAAGCTACAAAAATTTGTGCTTTGCGTACCAAGCATACCCATCCTCTCTCTTCTCTCTCTATACTATATATGATATTATATATCATATATATATATATATATATATATATATATATATTATATATATATATATGAGGAGAGAGGAGAGAGAGGAGAGAGAGAGAGAGATTAATGAGGTGAAAAGGACAATTATTATATTTCTATATTCCTTCTAGATCAATAGACTAGATTATTTTAACAAATTTAAAATTAACATAGTTTCAATGCGTGTTGTTGATGTGGCTAAAACTATGTCGATTTTGATAAATTTTTATCAATATCGATTTTGGTGAATGTTTTTGTGAAAGGGTTTCTTTCAAAAATTTCTCTAAAATCTAAAGTTTAGGTTAACTTTACTAATTGCTAGCCACCCCGAAGTACGGGGCCGGTTTTCGCGAGATTGAAAAGTGAGGAGGGCAGTGTGCACAACCACTAACGTTCAGGGTTTTTTTTGAAATTAACCCTTAACTACCCATTCATTCCAATTATTCTCCACGCAAAACGAGTAATTTATTAGTGAATTTTAATTTAGTTTAGAGAGAGTGTGTTCTTTCACTTTGCGGAGTTTTAGGGCGGTGCTAATCATTTCAATTGGCTCTTTCTCTCACGCAGCGCAAGTAAATTACAACAGGAAGTAGCTCAGATTGGATACAATTGATATTTTTCCAGTGTCTTCAACGCTCCAGGGATCAAGAGAGGGAGGAATCTCAACTGGGCATCTCTCATTTCAACCCCCTTTTCACTAGATTTTCTTTTTTTTTCTTTTTCCTGTTTTTGGGTCTGAGCAGTCTTTGCACTGCTCAACTCTCATCAGAGTCTTCAGCTCAGTGAGTGGTTAGATTTTTATGGGTCCCGTCTCATTTCACCAATGGTCTCTTTGCTTCTCATGACCAAGGATTTGATTCTCTCATTGCCTTGTCTTTTCACCCTCTTTTGAGGTACTTTCCTCTGTTCCTTTTGCCTTTCTCATTCAAAAGGTCGATCTGAGATCGATTAGCTATTAATGGCATTAGTTTTGCTCACTGATGTCAAACTGGGATTGATTGATTATTGAAATGAGTGAAGTGGGTTTGTGCCTTTTGAGGATTCTCTTGTGAGATTTTGGTCAATCTTGGCCCTGGGAGCTGTTGAAGGTATCAGGTACTTGCAATTATTTTTTTAATAAGATTAGATTTGTTTATAAGTGGAGTTGCTTCCTTAGTATTTCACTGAATTTTCAGAAGTAAATTCTACATAGAGTTAAACTTGACCCAGTTGAAGGAAAGTTTCCATTGATTCTGAGTGTTAGATTTGGATGAGAGATGAGTGGGGATCATTTAAACCACCATAATTCTCCCAATGACTGGCAATTTGGGAGCCCATTAATGTATCAAGGGATTCAAATGGCTTCTTCATCATGCCCACAAGTTTCAATGCCAGAATCCTTCTATACTAATCCTTGGAACAATCCAACAAACCCACAAAACTCGGGTTTCGCCGATGGCAATGCTGCTATTGGGAAGTCTGCTCCCCTACCCCCTCCAAGGCTTGATATGGGGATGTTCTTGCCGACAAACCCAGGGATGCTTCCGCCGAGTCTCTCTGATTTCCCCACGGACTCGTCTTTCGTCGAGCGAGCTGCGAAGTTCTCGAGCTTCGGTGCTGGTAATTTGAGTGCTTTGGTGAATCCTTTCGGGTACTCCAATGTGCAGGCTCCGAAGAATGAGGTCGTGAAGGATGTTTCTATGTCCGAGAGTCCGGTGAATTATCAAAAAGACAATGGGAGTGGAAAAGAAGAGGCACCTGATATGGCTAATTTATCTGGGGATTCTTCATCTAGAGGACTGAGTGCTAAGAAAAGAAAAAACAGCGGTCAGGTAGATTGAATGTAGTCAAAATTTTTGGGTTAGTTGCAGATAGAAACCTCTATGATATGGTCAAATTGATTTTACTACCCCTGTAGTTCTATTGTAGTGGATAGACACCCTGAGTGAAAATCTATCGTTGCAGATAGAACCCTGCCATTGGGTCAAGAGAATTGCATTCAGGGGGTCTGTCTGAAACAATAGAACTACAGCTTAGTAAGTTCATATTGGCAATAGCACATGGATCTATCTATATGTAATTATCCCAAATAGTAATTTGTTGCCTGATTGTAATCAAATAATTCCTTTTTCGTGTGTAGGATATGGAATTAGACCAGGTACAGGAAGAGAAACAATTTTCTGACGAAATCCCAAAGGAGAAGAATCCCGAAACTAAGCAGATTGTCAAATGCAGCAGCTCGAATGGGAAGTCCAATGGGAAGAATGCCAAAGGTAGCACAGATGGAGCCAAGCAAGACTATGTTCATGTGAGAGCGCGGCGAGGTCAGGCAACGAATAGCCATAGTCTTGCAGAGAGAGTAAGCCTTGATAACCGATGAAATATTGAATTTTCTTTTTAATTGTTGTGATCTGTTTTAAGTTTGGTTGACCACATTGCAGGTTAGGAGAGAAAGGATTAGCGAACGGATGAAGTATCTTCAAGACCTTGTGCCTGGTTGTAGTAAAGTATGTTGACTTGCATAATGGCACGAGTTGATGTAGTTTATGAATTATGTACATATTTCATTCATATAGTTCATGTGTTTTAACTTTGACAGGTCACTGGGAAGGCGGTAATGCTTGATGAGATTATCAATTATGTTCAGTCATTACAACGGCAGGTTGAGGTATATGCTTCTTGCCGTATTTTTCTTGGTGATAGAATGACAAAAAAAAGTGAAGCTTAGCTAATATCTAATTCAAAATTTCGTTTGGTTCTTATTGATAGTTCCTGTCTATGAAGCTTGCGGCTGTTAATCCAAGTATTGAGTTAAACATAGAAGGGCTTCTGTCTGAAAATGTAAGTTCTCATCTTTAAATATCAGAGTGAATAAATCTTGAGATGCTGACCAAACAAACATATCTGTAACATATTATCTAACTAGAGTAGAGTTGTTTGCACTAAATAACTTCGCCTCATTATAAACTTTGGTGCCCCTCAAAGTTAAAATTTTAACTTTGATATCCCCAAATTTTTTTGTCCAAAGTATACCCCAAAGCTCCACAAAATTGAACTTTAATACCTGAACTTAAATTTTTTGTTAAATTTTTGTTATAAGTATCCAAGAATTTTGCTGAACTTTGGGCATTTCTTGGGCAAAATAAATCTTTGGGGTATCAAAATTAAAAATGAGGCAAATTTTAGGGTATCTATTTGGGCAAAAAAGAAGCATCATAGTTAAAAACGGAGTAAACTTTGCGCTATTTAAGTGCAACTAACCCCATTAGAGTAAATAAACTAGCTTTTGAACAATTCTTTTGTTAAATGAATTCGATACGACTGTGTCTGTTTGTAACAAACTATTGTTGCTTATTTTACTCAATATCAAGCAGTTGAATGATTTTCTAGTTTTTTTTTTCTTTTTTTTGTTAACGATAGATGCTACAGAGCCGTGTTGGCCCATCTCCAGCGGGTATCTCACCAGAACTTCTTCATCATCAGTTTCTTCAACCTCAACAGGGTTTGGTTCATAATGGGATCCCCAGCATAGTCAACCATGCAGATGCACTTAGAAGGGCCGTAACAGCTCAATTTACAACTACAAATGGTTTCAAAGAACCCACACCTCAGGTTCACTATAACAAAAACACATTTCGTTTTTTAACATCATTATGAAATACATATAGCCTCGTTCTTTCTATTAATTTGAAAAACGGATCAGAATTCACGAAAACGTTGTTGTTCCTAGATGTTGACTTGAGATTTGAATGAAAATCGAAAAAGAGCGATCATCAGTAGGGCTTCTACAAATATAAATAGTAATTCCTCTGTAGACAATCAGACACTTACTAGAAGGCTTTCTGTACTTGCTAACATTCTGTATCTGTTAAACGCTAATTGGTCACCCTACTGAGAATCTGAGATATTCAATGGAAACATGCACTTTGTTTTTCTTTTACGTAGGGAGATAGCATTGGTCCATCTACATCTATAAATTATTGTAGCATTGGTCCATCTACATCTATAAATTATTGTAGCATTGGTCCATCTACATCTATAAATTATTGTACAGAGTAGAATTATATTCCTATTGTTGTCCATTTACATGTATGCTTGGCCGAAAACTGTGTGCAACACAATGTCTTGTTGATATATTATCATTTGGATATTTCCTGGATTTGCTGTTCTCAGTATTCTTCCATTTGGTTATGTGTCATTGGCTACCTTAATCTTACAACACCCTCACTATAATTCCAGCATCGATGTTTGTTGGGACAAATTTCATGTTTGTCCTTAAGATTATTAATCAGTTAAATGCCTTATTTCAATGCCTTACAACCGAGGTTCAATTTCTTGTGACATTCTGGATTACTGCACTGCCCTTGTGATTACTCAGAACCATTATTTTGCTTCACTGCCCTTCATTTTATTGCATCCTACCTTTTTATTTGTCTGTTCTTGAATCCGTTTTATACATCTCTTTATCGTTTCACTATCCTTGAATTTCTGCTAAAGCTACAAATCTGGTTTTGCCTAAGAAAGGGTTAATTATAGATATAAACCCTTTACTATGAGGGTGTAGCCCTTTATGTTCCTAATTGTTTTATTACATGCTGGTAACTCCAGTCCTCTTATTTTCCATGTTAGGTTCAGATTTCACTGGCAAATCACATGGCAATAAATTACCTTCTGCTTCGAGTTAACTGGAAAAAAGATAAGAATTACTCTCTAAATTTAGGGCAAAAGAATAACTTTGTGTTTATTTTTGGGGTGCATGTAGTAATTAAATAGTTGGATTTTATTGCGTGTACACCCCTACATCTATCCTATCTGCAGATTTATCCCCAAATCTGAATATTTGCTAATTTATCCCAAATTCCTTGGGTTTGAACAAAGATACCCCTCGCATATTGTTACTTTTCAAACAGAATATGGATAGACTAACAATTATATCCTTAACTATCCTTTTGATCTTCTCTCTTCCTCTCACTCCACTAATTAGGAATTAACATCTTAGTTAAGTTAATTGGATATTTATTAGTCATGTTTTTAAAACAGAAACTGGGAGGGATGGATTATAACAACCCCAAAGAATGTGGGAAAAATTAGCAAATAGTCAGATTTGGAGGGTAGATTTGCAGATAGGATGGATTTGTGGGTATATGTGCAAAAATGTTTGGGGAATTAGTAGGAATTAGTGGTTGCACCTGCATAATACAGAGGCTGTATCCGCAGTTAACTGTAGATAAAATATATGAAACGTTGTTGCTGAATAAATTTTAAGTTTCCATCTCCACGACTAAGCTGTTCAGTTCACATCAACTAAATGTGTTTTCATGTTCCAACTCATCTAAAACATTATAATAACAATTTCTATGCCTGCAAGTGTGTGATCAAGATCTCTCTTTTTGGATGTTCTTACTTGCACATAACATTTCCTCGTGCATTTGTTTGAGGCTGCTTTTGATCATCGACAGATATCAAGTTGGGAGTCTGAGATCCAGAATATGGTTCAGATGAACTTTGGAACTAACCCTTCGCCCAACACCCAAGAGTTCAATTCCAAACCTAATAATGGATTCTCACAATAAATTTTACCTCTTGCCTGAATCCATGGGTCAGAAATTCCACCTATCAAGCTTTCAAGATTATTACTTGGTTGGAAACTAGCTCCAGAAGCTGAACAGTCCATATTTTCGTTGATATGGTGGCTGGAAGTTATGAAGGTATGTATAAAATTATATACGAGTTATGTGAATTCTCGTGAGATTATTTGAGACTCTCGGAGATTTCTTTCTTGTAAAATATGTAAAAGCACATATTTTTTACTTAAGTGGAAGAACGAACTATATATACTATTATGAGAATGCAAGATAAATCGATTCTGGATTCAGAAGTTTGTTACTGCTTTTAATTTGCGGTGCAAGATGTTGTTTCTTTGTTATTTTTACCCCTCGTATCTTCAAATATTGGGTAATAGGTAGGTATTTGGGTATTGTATGCATCTATTGAAGGAACTTCGTGAAAGACAGCAGCTTTTTCTTCAAATCTCCCGATCATCTTTTTAAAGAAATTTGTGAGAGGGTGTATATTTGTATAGGAAATCTGTGCTTTTCTCCTTGTTTATGAAGAGAACTGACCTCGATTCGGTGACCTCGCCTGAAGATTGAAGCGTGGGAGGATCTCGCCTTAAGAGCTCAGATGAGGGAGCTCGCATGCGGATCGTGGAGAGGCGAGGAGGCGAGGCGAGGGAGCTTGCCTGTCACCACGAGGTCGCCTGTTGGGAGCGTGGACTTCACTTGATGAAAGAGATCGAGCTTGCCTTCGGAGCTCGTCTGATGGCTTCGTGGTGGAAGCCAGCTGGAGCGCACGATTGCCCTAGGGTTTCCCTATAAAAGGGAAACCCTATTCACGAGCGCAGGAGAGCGGAACTTCGTGGCGGTGGGATTTGTTTTCCCTCTGCGATTTTGAGCTCTCATTTGTCCCAGCTCTCAGGAATTAAAGAAGGGGGAGTTGAGGAATTAAAGAGGGGAGTTAAGAGAGAGATCTATACTGTAGCTACAGTATAGATTAACATTCATTTGAGAGATCTCAAGTTTGAGATATTGTCCTCGAAAGTTTGTAATTTTTTGTGATTAAATAAGAAATTATTTGTGCCGCTATCGTGGACGTAGGTAAACTGTCGAATCACGTAAATATTTGTGTTTGTGATTGACTTGTCATATTTGTTTGGATTGTGACCGTGTTAGGTTTATTTCTCTTTTCTCGTGCCTTACTGATTCGGTTGGTGTGCGAGCACGCTTCCGCAAAGGCGAGTAACAATTGGTATCAGAGCTCCAGATTTGAGATCTAGGGTTTTGGCATTGTGTGGAGGAAGATTCAGTTTGGAAGCTTAGTTCTTGGAGTTCTAGGCTTCGGTGGAGATAGCGTTGAGGAGTGTCGTGGTGATGTTGCTTTCATTGTGTGGTTAGGAGATCAATTTGGAATCCGATTTAGGGTAAAGTTTGGTATCTTCTTAATTCTATCAAAGTTTAGATTTTTCTCTACAATTCGGAGGTTGTGAGTATGGGAGAAGTAATTGGAGAAAGCAGCAAGACTATGTCGGGTACAGTTCAAGTTGGTTTTCAGAACACTAAGATTAGTGTAGTGAAATATGACGTTAAAATCAACTTTGGTTTGTGGATAAGCGACGTACATGATAGGCTCAATGCTCAAAATTTAGAGGAGACCATCATGGTCCATAAGAGGCCACCAAAATATGAAGAGGCGGTATGAGAAAAGATGAATAGGAACATTTTTGTGGTGATCAGATCTTGTTTAGAACAAGAGCTGAAGTATGATGTAATTGGGGTAACATCTGCAATGAAGATGTGAGAAATTCTCAACAATAAGTACCTTACGAAGAGTGTTGAGAACCGTTTATACTTGCTTCTGTAGGCTGTCTAAAAATCACTGCAGATAGCTGATCCCCATCAAACACCGATGATGGAAGTTACAATTTGACGGCTTCCAGAAGTGTATAATTTAAAGACTTTCATGTAGATCGATGAAGGTTACCATCTGACGATCTTCACAACAACTGATGAAAGCTCTAATCAACAGCCTTCATAATCAACATCGGGAGTTACAACCTGACGATTCTCACATATCAAAGAGCTAAAGCAAAGATTACAAAACGACGATCTTTACAACGCTCTGACAGAAAGAGACTACAAATTGACGGTCTCTTCAAACCAAGACACGGAAGTCCTCCCCGCGTACCAGCATCAAGATGCACCGTGTTCATAGCCGCTGACGCAGTGCAAATGAAGCTCACATTCAGCTCCAAATGCTGCAAACGCAGCTTAGATCCAGCTGCCAACGCAGCTCATGTTCGGCCGCAAACGCAGCCTCCGAAAGCTGCCAAACGCAGCTTCCATCCGCTGCCAAACGCAGCTTCCAAGCTGCCAATGTAGCTTCCAACAAGATGCCAATGCAACTTCTAAATCGCTGCAAACACAACTTCCAATTGCTGCGAACGCAGCTTCCAGACGTTGTGCTCGAGCTTCCAGACGCTGCGCTCGAGTTTCCAGACGCTGCGTTCGAACGTAGAATTCATGCCAGAACACGGATTTTACGTTTGACTCGTTCAAACACGAGCTGAATGGTTTCAAAACTGTTTTCCACAATCTAAGGGGATCACAACTCCACTCATGAGTGATTTAAGGGGCGGTTACATCCCATTAGCCCCACAAAGGAGCGATTTTAGGGGCGGTTACACCCCCTAAACGCCTATAAATAGCTGAAAGATCGGCTTAGTTTTGGGAAGAGAGGAAGAGGGGGGATATCTTTGGATCTTTGAGAATTTTGGAGATCTAGAGATCGGTTTCTTCGGATCATCTTCTCGGCAACATATTATTGGGGCTATCTTCGTGCTTGGCTTGTCCAACCAATTACGGTTAAGATCAATCAACTCTTTTACAAGAGTTTAAATTCGCTCTGAGTTATCAATTCGTTCAGAGTTTCAAACTTATCACGTAAGTCCTCCACAACGTCAAATCGTGAGGAGAATATATCGTTCCAGTGAAACAAGATGTTCGGATCGTCAACGAGAAGCAAACTCGACGCAAGTATTCGAGTGAGGCATCTCATCATTACCATGAAGAACCCAGATTTAAACAAAGGGGAGAATTCAGATCAATTCTCCTCTCTTTTATAATCGAAAATCCAAATTGTAATTAAGATCGAGAGAATACAAATCAAATTTCTTTCATTTTATTTACTACAAATTTTCCACCAAACAGCTGCGAAAATTGTTCAGATTTCAGATGTTAAGGGGAACCTCACTAGCAGTTCATGTGAACAACTATACGAAGTTATTGTCGGACTTGGCGAACGTGGGTGAGAAGATCACAGATGAGTATAAGGCTATTTATTTTTTGGGCTCCTTACCGGATGAGAAATATGATACATTCGTACTTACCTTGTTGAACAGGCGATCTTCCATCACGTATAGTAAAGTTACTAATGTTTTGACTAACTATGATTTGAGGAGGAAGGACAAAAAACTTCATGTGCTAGTACTTCAGGAGAGGCCTTGACGACGAGAGGTAGAAGCCTATATCCGAGAGGTGATAATAGAGGCAGGGCAAAGTCTAGAGGCCATCACCAGTTAGCTAAGAGCCAGTGTGCGTTCTGCAAGGAACATAGACATTGGAAGAGAGACTGCCCGAAGCTCAAGGAGAAGGAGAATGACAAAAAGAAGGGCCAGAAGGCCAATGAGGTGAACGTTGCGAGAGGTGATAATTCAGATAATTCTAGTTTTTCTCTTTTGATTACTCCAGAGGATTACTCCAGAGGTGAACCATTTGGCTGCATCAGATTGGATGTTAGATTCTGGTGCTACCTATCATGTGATCCCTAGGCGAGATTGGTTTGCATCATTTGAGAAAGTCGATGGGGGTGTTGTAGTCATTGGAAATGATCAGTTCTGTGGCATTTATGGGATAGGTACCATCAAAATTCGGATGCACGATGGAGTAGTCCGTGAGTTAAATGATGTAAGATTCGTTCCTCAACTGAAGAAGAATCTTATTTATGTTGGAGCTTTATAAGCGAAGGGATTCAAGGTGACCTTTGAGGATGTTGCAGTAAATGTTACTAAGGGATCTTTGGTGGTGATGAAGGGAGTCCGTAATTGTAACTTATATTATCTGAAGGGGAGCACCGAAGTTGGTCAGGTAGCTTCAGCTATTTTAGAGGCGGATATGAGCAAACTTTAGCACTACAGGTTAGGGCACGCATGAGAGAAGTTATTGCAGGTGTTGTGCAAGTAGGGGCTATTGAAGGGAGTCAAAAATGGAAAGATAGAGTTCTGTGAGCATTGCGTACTTGGTAAGAAGACGAAGGTGAAGTTCAGGACAACCATCCATAGGACGAGGGGCATCCTAGACTACGTGCACAAAGATGTTTGGGTCCCACCAAGACTGCATCACTTGGTGGTCGATGTTTGTTCGTCACATTCGTAGATGACTATTCTAGGTGTTGTTAGGTGTACACCTTGACGACGAATAGCGAAGTTCTAGATATATTTGTGGAGTGGAGGAAGAGATTAGAATTACAGACTGTGAGAAAGATCAAGACGTTGCGATCTGAAAATGGTGGTGAGTATACTTCTGACCCCTTTCAGCAGCTATATCGAGACGATGGCATAGAGAGCCACTTCACAGTGAGTCATACACCGCAGCAAAATAGGGTGGCATAGAGGCTGAATCAGTCTTTACTGGAGAATGTTCGATGCTTATTATCGCAGAGTGGTTTGAAGAAGATCTTTTGGGCTGAGGCACTATCATATGCGAGCCACCTCATTAACCGGCTGTCTTCATCTATGATTGAGGGTATCTACCATTGAGGGGAAGACCCATATGGAGATGTGGTCGGGAGAGCCATCACACGACTATGACCAGCTTAAGGTATTTAGGTGCCTTGCATTTTATCATGTCAGAACAGATAAATTAGAACATCGAGCTAGGAATACTATATTTGTAGGATTCAAGCATGGTGTTAAGGGATACAAGCTATGGGATCCAGTTGATAGGAAGATTGTGCTGAGTAAGGACGTTACGTTCGATGAGGCTTCTGCCTTGAAGCTTCTCATCTCTCATTAGGTGGAGAGCGACCCGACGGAGGAAATATCGTAGATGGTGGAGATTGATGCAGCTCCATAGTGTTCGGATGATATAATATCCATTAGAGTACCGACTGAGGAGACGTCAGGCGAGCACGGTGATGACGAGGAGGATAAAGGTACAGATAAGCAGGATCAGAGACCAACGGCTCAGGTTCAGGATTCGATTGCGGTTCGGAGACAGAAGAGAGACATACGGACGCCAGCACAGTATACAAACACAGTAC